GGGTAACAAGGGAAAGTGTTCAGTGCAGATCAGTGAGTAAGCCATTCCAATAGATAGTAGTATATTATAGCTGAGACTGGAATCTAAGGGAGCTCTGGTGGTGTAGTACCTAACGCATTTGACTGCTAACCGGAAGGCTGGCAGTTCAAACCCACCAGCCACTTCCCAAAAGGAAGGTTGGGCAATCTACTTCCGTAGCAATACTGCCTCGGAAACCCAAGGAGGGGTCGCTATGAGTCAGATCCAACTTCGATGGCAGTACAAACTGGAATCTAAACTTTTTAAGGATGAGGAAGTGTCTGTTTACTGTGTAGCTACAAGAGGTACATTAGTGTTTGGCACATAGTAGATAACTGATAAATATTGAATGTGTGGGAAACATTAAATAGCAAATAAGCACAATTTCTAGGCAAAGACTTCCCTCTGGAGTTCTAAAGCATTACCTGTTCTTTTTCCTTTTTTAAAATACTTGAGATTATCTTTTGTCAAGGGCATCCAGATTGTAGTGTTACTTGGTTACAGTTTTAATGTCATTTAATTTTTTGTAAAAGAAAAAAATAATCATCCTGTGGTGATTGTTGAGAGCTCTCCAGGTCCATACTAGGGCATTTCACCTAGGATTTTCCTAGGTGAGATCTGTCCTACACCCTTGGAGAGTCTCTGTATAGTTGGAGGTTGCCTGCCACATAACACAATCTGAAATCTCTGCATTCAAATTAGGGGCACATCTCATACGTGATATTTATGGTTCACTTAAAAAACTTGCCATTGTTGAGTTGGAGCCAACTCATAGTGACCCCTCCTTGGGTTTCCAAGGCAGTATCACTACAGAAATAGATTATCCAACCTTCCTTGCAAGGAGTGGCTGGCTGGTGGGTTTGAACCGCCTACCTTCTGGTTAGCAGTCAAATCCTTTAGGCCCTATGCCACCAGAGTTCCTGATACACATGGGTAGACCCTTATAATAGTTCAATCTCTGACATTTCCTTTTACCAGGGAGAAGGTATCCTGCTAGAAACCTGAGCATCTTCTGTGACAGCTCCTTCAGTCCCATATCCAATTAAATCTTGATCATGCAACCCCCTAAATAAGCCCGGAATTTTTCAACCTCTTTACATCTTTGATGTCATTCTGGTCTGACCCATGGTTGTCTCCCACCTGTGTGACAACAGTGCCTCCTAAGTGATCAGTCCATGTAATTTTGTTTTCCTTTTCTCCCAGTCTAGTTTTTATAGAACAAGTGAGTAATTTGTTTAAATCAAAAAAAGTGATGAGGTTGTACTTAAGTTCTTAAAATCCTTCTTATGATGACTTCTGTGGTAGTTCACTTTGTGTGTCAACTTGGCTGGGCCTGGTTGAGTGGCTGGGCAGCTGGTGGTCATTATTCCCCATGATGAGACTGCCAGTCCACTCTGTGGTGGCATCTACCACAAGCAGCTGACTAGCTAGCTGCCTTTGGGATATGGTCTGCTTCCTGTATGGAAGGAGAAGCCTTGGAAATGGTCTCTAGCATATGGCATGCTTGGACCCTGCATGTAGCTATGTCGTTGTTCAGCAGGCTGCCATGCTCTGTTGACCTTGGGACTTACAATGAACTTGAATTTATGGCCTGCCATGTGGTTTGATAATATCAGGATTGTGCCTTTTTACTGGTCAACGTTGGACTTCTCAGCTTCAGCGGCCAGCAGCTGTCTGAGTGAAGAATTGCCTCTAGCTACAGTGGGCCGGGAGCAGGAGGCAGAGCTGGACCCCAAGGTTGAGGGGCTTCCACCCAGCCCCTAGAGCCTGGCACTTTGAACTTGGACTTCTAGCTTCCCAAACTGTAAGAGAATAAACTCCTGTTTGTTAAGGCCATTCATTCCATTTGTAGTATATTCTTTTCAGTGGCACTAGGTAACCAGAACTACTTCCCATTACTTTTAGGACAAAATCCACAGCTCTTAACATGGTTTGCATTGCCTTGCCTCCTTCAGCTGCCCCACCTTTATCTCTAGCCACTATCTAACCTACTAGGCCCCAATGATCTTACACTTCTTTGCCTTGAAGTATGAGGCTGACTCCCTCCAGTTTCAGGCCCTCCCACCTGAAAGTTTATCCCTTCCTAGAATACTGACAGCCCCTTAACCAGCAAACTCCTGCTCTTCTTTAGCTGTTGGTGTCAATGAGTCTTATTTTTTTTTTTTAAATACATTTTATTGAAATATAATTTATGTACAGTGAAGTACACAAAACTAAAGTGACATAGGTCAATGCTTTTTTTTTTTTTTTTGCAGTGTTCCCTCCCACCCCTGGTAACCAACAAAGAAATTTTCCTTCCATACATATACCTTTCCTTGGCTTTTTACAATAATGAACTGATACTGTATTTGTCCTTCTGTGATTGACTTATTTTACTCAGCATAATGTCCTCCAAGTTCATCCCTGTTATGTGGTGTTTTGCAGATTCTACATTATTCTTTAGTGTCGCATAGTATTCCATCATGTGTTTGTACTGTAGTATGCTTATCCATCAGCCACTCCTCGGAAGGAAGGTTGGGCAATCCTACTTCCGTAGTGATACTGCCTCGGAAACCCAAGGAGGGGTCGCTATGAGTCGGGGCCGACTCGACAGCACATAACAACAACAACAACATGCTTATCCATTCGTCTGTAGATGAGCACCTAGGTTGTTTCTGTATTTTTGCTGTTGTACATCATGCTGCGATGGACATTGGTGTGCATATATCTGTTCTTGTCCTGGCTCTCACTTCTTTAGGATATATACCTCGTAATGGGATTGCTGGGTTAAATGGTATTTCTAATTCCAGCTTTTTAAGGAATTGCCATACTGCTTTCCAAAGGTGAATGAAAGACAAGGAAGCTTATCTTGAAGTGCAGTGTTATTACATATTCGCATAGCACTTTGTAAAATATATTGACAATTGCTTTCAAAGAATTGTATAATCATTATCTGTATAAAATCTCCCTCCCTATGAATGATAAGTTCCATGAGAACAGGGACTGCAAGTATCTTGTTTTAGGTTGTATTGCCAGCACTTAGCAAAGAGGAAGTTATAGGCCCTTAATACTTCAGAACAACAGAATGGGTTACACCCACAAATCTATTAGTTTGTCATAGTGGAGTGGCTTGCGTGTTTCTGTGATGCTGGAAGCTATGCCACTAGTATTTCAAATAATAGCAGGTTTGCCCGTGGTGGACAGATTCAAGCAACTTCCAGAAAACAACAAACTAGGAAGAAGGGCCTGGTGATCTACTTCTGAAAATTAGCTGTTGAAAACCCTGCGGATCACAACAGAACATTGTTTGACTTGTTTGCTTTGGACACATCATTGGGAGGGATTAATCGCTGGAGGAGGATGTCATGTTGGTAAAGGAGAGGGTCAGCAAGAGTGTGGGACACCCTTGGTGAGATGGATTCAGCACAGTAGCCACAATGATAGGCACAAACATGCTGGTGATTGTGAAGATGATGAAGGACTTGGCATTGTTTAGTTTTGTTGTACATAAGGTCTCCATGAGTCAGAATTGACTCAGAAACCAAGAAAAAAACCAAACTCACTGCCCTGGAGTCAATTCTGACTCATAGCTACACCTCAGCAGCAGCTAACAGCAACGACGTAAGTTCTAGAGAGCCCTTGCCAAGGAAGAAGAAAACCCAACAAAAGTGATTTACAATACCCTGAATTCGTTATGTTCAGGAATATTGAAGTACTTACTCTGGGGCATTATGGTAAGAGTAAAAATGTGTTTGCTTTTTAAAATTCTCATGATCTAGGAATGTATAGATATTCACTCTCGAGATAGAATAAAATACCAGATACGGGGTTGATTGCTTATATCATATTCAGAGGTACTACAAATAAGAAATCTATAATTTGTGTGACAATTTTCACCCTTTTGAATAGTATCTTCTACATAAGTAGGTAATACACAAGTATCATTGTTCAAACAGTAAGCTTTGTACAATATAAACATTGTGTGACTCAGAGACAGTATCTCAAGTATGGTATTTGAGATGTTTAGAAAGCCTGATAAATTCAAGGCTAATAGAGTTTAAAAAAAGGAAGCTTCTTTATGGAGTTTTACTACAGGAAAAGTGTTTACTTTTAAAAAACAAATGACACTGTCTCAGTATAGTTTCACGTTTTAAAAAGTATGGTAAATATGGGGTTTCCATTTCCAAAGTTATGGAGGAGTCCAAACGGTTGATTAGTGAATCAATAAATGACTGAAGGAAATGCCTCTAACTAGTTCAAAACTGAAAACCTAAGGCAGTGCTTCTTGATTCTGATGTGCATGTGAAACACCTGGGGACCTGGTTAAACGCCACAGTCCTTCATGTTCACTGTTAGGACTGGAGTGCGGCCAGAGATTGTGCATTTCTTACCAACTCCCAGGGAATGCTGTGTTGCTGTGTACAGACCACGCTTAGAGTAGATGGCCTACAGAACATTCAGGAAGATTAATGTGTAATAATTCTATATATTTCAAATTATTGAGACATAAAGTCTTCAACTTTCTGAACAATTACTATGCCAGAGTACTAGATGCTGTGCAAGTAAATGTACAAAACCTTCCTTTATATGGTTTTTATTCAAATAGAGATCTAAATTCTGCCCTCTTTTTGGTGTCTTTCTGCTTGACTATTTCTTTAAAGCTGTATACATAAGCAAACAAACAGTTTTAATGTGTGGCTTTCCCTTGCTACTTTAGAATCAGAAAAAACCTGAAAATGATGATGATGTGGAGATTAAGAAGCAGTTGTCCAAGTACGAATCTCAACTTTCAACAAATGAAGAAAAAGTAGACACAGATGATCGTAAGTCTTTATCAGACAATCTGAGATCTAGGGAGAGCTTTAAAATTGCTCTATGATTTGTTGGCAACTTGGACTATCTGGAGGAGATAGACCAAGTCTTTTTCTCTTTTTGTTTTTGTTGAGTAAATACATAGCAAAACGTACCAATTCAACAATTTCTACATGTACATTACAGTAACATTGACTGCGTGCTTTGAATTGTGCAACCATTCTCACTTTCCTTTTCTGAGTTGTTCCTCTTCCATTAACATACACTCATTGCCCCCTAAGGTTCCTGGTTCCTTTTGAGTTGCTGTTACCAATTGATCTCTACAGATAGATCTTAAAAGGGCATGATGCTCAAGAAAGACATTCTTTACTAATTTAAACTATTCTTGGTTTAAAGAAGATTTCAGGGGATATTTTTGGCTTCAGGTTTAAAGATTATCTCAGGACAAGTGGTTTCAGGACTTTCTCCAGCCTCCAGGGCTATAAAAGACTGGATTCCTTGAGATTTTGAAATTCTGTTCTGCATTTTCCCTGCTTTGATCAGGATTCTGCTCTAGAATCTTTGATCAAAATGATCAGTAATGGTGCCCAGGCACCATCTAGTTCTTCTGGTCTCATGGCAGAGAAGACAGTTGTTCATGGCAACAGCCACAAATTCCATTTTCTCCTTCTCTTCTTAACCCTCCTTCTTCCTTTGCTTCAGGCAAATACAGATCAATTATTGTGCTTGTGATGGCCACTTGCAAGCTTTTAACACCCCAGGAACTGTGCAACATACTAGGAAATCGAACAGAAGCATTAAACACATTATTAGGCCTGGGCTGTCCTGTAAAACTATGACCGTAAACTTCCAAACCAAGGAACCAAATCCCATGAGGTCTTTAGTTGTACATACGCAACCTCAGCAGTTACTTTTTTTTTTTAAATTGTAAATTTATCACACAGCTTTTGTTAATTCAACTTTTTATAGTTGTACAGCTTCTTGACAGCAATTACAGTAATCAGCTATGCATCCCTACCCTTAATCAGTGCTATTTTTTTATCACCAGAAACTGAAACTTATAAGAAATGACCAGTCTCCTTATCCCCCAGTGTCCCACCCCTGGTAACCACTAATAAACTTTGGTGTCTATAAATTTGCCTTTACTTATCTTTTTATGTAAGTGAAGTCATAATTTTATTTTTATTTTATTTTATTTTTTGTAATTGACTCATTTCATTCAGCATAAGGTCTGAAAGCTCAATCCACATTGTAACATGTATCAAGACTTCATTTCTCCTTCTGGCTTTGTTACCAACTAACTAATGGCTAGTCCATTGTATGTATGTATCACATTTTGTTTATTCATGCATCCATTGATGGGCATTTAGTTTGTTTCTGCCTTTGGCTATTGTTAATAGTGCTACAGTAAATATTGGTGTACAAGTCTCTTTTTGAGTCTCTGCTTTGAAGTCTGTTGGATATGTACCAAAGTAGAATTGCTGGGTCATATGGTTGTTCTATTTTTAGTTTTTTGAGGAACCACTGTACTGTTTTCCACAACAGCTGTACCATTTTGCATTCCTACTATAAAGGAATAAGGGTTCCAATTTTCCCACATCCTTGCCAACATTTCTTTTGTTTTTAAACCTAGTATTCTAGTGGGAGTGAAATGGTAGCCCGTTGTGATTTTGATATGCATCTCTGTGATAGCTAATGATGTTGTGCATCTTTACATGTGTTGGCTGACCATTTGAATGTCCTCTTTGGTGAAGTGTCTATTCAAGTCCTTTGCCCATTTTATGATTGGGTTATTTGTCTTTTTATTGTTAAGTTGTCAAAGTTTTGTATATGTTTTGGTTAATTCTTGTTGGATATATGGTTTCTGAAGATATTCTCGCAGTTGGTAGTTTTTTCTTTTAACTTTTGTGGTCTTTTTTTTCCCCCTCAATCTTATAGTTAAAGATAAAAATTTACCAGTGGGTTATATGTATGTTTATATTTCTTTTTTTTCCTGAAGTTTTTTTGTTTCGAGGTAAATTCAGACTGAGAGAAAACTTCCAAGAGTAGTACAAAGAGTTGCTGACTGAGAGGAATGGGAGGGTAAACTGTATTGTTGCTGCTGCTTCCTTGTAAGGCCTCCTGTCCACCCTGTGTTTTCCAGAAGGTCTTTATGTAAAGACCAAGTAATGCTCTTGCTCTCCTTCCTGCATTTGTTCCTTCTTCAACCTTTTTTAAATGGACTCCAGTGAAATGTATGATGATGAGAAGAAATAGCTACTCTAGAATTGAGCCACGATGTCAGGAATGCATCTAAGAAAATTAGTAACAGTGTACAGGAAAAAGACAAAACAAAACCTTATTATTACAAGAGTAGCTGTTGAGGCTGCTTATGTACCACCGAATACCACATGAGATTTGGTTCCTTGGTTTGGATGTTTAGGGTCATGGTTTCTGGGAAAGCCCAGTTAATTGGCCTAATACTGTGGTTAACAGTTCTGTTCTACCTCCTAGTTTGTTGTGTGGTGCCTAGGATGTTAAAACCTTCCAAGTTGCCAACCAGGGCACAATTGCTCTCTTACCTGGAGCAAAGAGGAAGAAGGAGAGTCAGGAAGAGGAGGAGGAAATGGATTGGGTTGCTGATTACCTCCATGAACAACTCCCTCCTTTGCCATGAGACTAGAACTGGATTGCCCAGCTACCATTACTGAACATTTTGATCAAACGTTCTATAGACCAATCCTGAACAAATGCAAATATATCCATAAATGTAGTAGAGCATATAGAGGCCAATATTACGAAAACTTCTTAGTCATAATTGAATACCTTGAGGGAATGAGTCACTGGGCATTGGGGCTCAGGATCGTAGTTTTCGGGGACACTAAGGTCAATTGGCATAATATTGTTCACAAAGACAATGTTCTTCATCCTACTTTGGTGAGTAGCGACTGGAGTTTTCAAAGCTTGGGAGTGGCCATCTAAGGTAGAACTGTTGGTCTCTTGCAAAGAAGAGTGAAGAAATATCAAAGATGCAAAGAAACTTTTTAAAGGACTAACGGACCATATGAACCCAAGCCCCAAAGACCCTGAGACAGAAAAATTACATGGTACCTGGCTGTCACTGCTAACCATTCTGAAAGAGATCACAAAACAAGGTCCTCAATAGAGCGGGAGAAAAACATGGAAGAAAACTCAAAGTGATTTAAAAAAAAAAAAAAAAAAGACCAGGCTTACTGGTCAGATGAAGACTGGTAGAATCTCTGGGAATATGGTTCTTAGACACCCGTTAAGCCAGGAACTGAACTCAATCCCTACTATTACTCAACTTTCAGCCAAACAATGGGCAGGCTTTTACAGTGAACAGTAATACCAGGAGAGTATACACTCATAACAATCACCTATCTGAGATTAAGATATGAGCATTTGCATAGGGTTAGGGCCCAGAGATAGAAAGGTGGAAGGGAATGGGAAATAAGAACAAAGGGAAGGAATGGGCATAGGGAAGAAGTGGGAAGACTGCTGTTGCATTGTGGGGATTGCAGTTAATGTCACAAAACAAAATGTGTATTGGTTGACTGGAAAACCAATATGCTCTGTAAACTGTCACCCAAATCACAAATTAAAAAAATAAATAAAACCTTGTTCACTTTATAAGTAGGAATGTTTGAATGTATCTAAGTACATTAAAAAGCTTTCTGACATTGTTCCAATGTTCTTTATGTTTTCACCTAGGACCAGAAGGCTATCTACAAACAGACACTCAAGAGCCCTCACACTTTGATTCTCAGCAGCCAGCAGTCTTGGAAGAAGAAGAGGTCATGATAGCTCATGCTCATCCACAAGAAGTTTACAATGAATATGTTCCCAGAGGGTGCAAGAATAAATGTCATTCTCATTTTCATGACACACTCGGCCAATCAGATGATCTCATTCACCACCATCATGACTACCATCATATTCTCCATCACCACCACCACCAAAACCACCACCCCCACAGTCACAGTCAGCGTTACTCTCGAGAGGAGCTAAAAGATGCCGGCATTGCCACTTTGGCTTGGATGGTGATAATGGGGGACGGCCTACATAATTTCAGCGATGGCCTAGCAATTGGTATTTGTCTACATATCTGTTCCTTGACTCTGAAAATGTCCCAATAAACTACTATTTAAATTTTAAGAAAATAGGTTGGTTTGGATAAGATTAGTATTGACTTCCAAGATCGTTTGAATGTTATTTTTTCTTTGGCTACTTTGATAGTAAAAACCAAAATCAAACCAAACCCATTGCTGTCAAGTCTGTTATGACTCATAGTGACCCAATAGGACAGAATAGAACTGCCCCATAGGGTTTCCAAGGCTGTAATCTTTATGGATGCAAACTGTCAATCTTTTCCCCACAGCATGACTGGTGGGTTCGAACCACTGACCTTTCATTTAGCAGCCAAGCACTTATTCATTGGACCACATATTCAGTAAATTAGTTATGTATGATTAAGTGTTAGGAACTCTACCTAGACCATTACCTAAACTGTAACTATCAAAACTTATTCCTAATTTACTGGTCTTAAATCAGGCTTTAACTTGGAGTATGTGTGATTTTTTTTTTTTTCCCCCTATACCTTTTAAGTTCCTTTATCTATTGGGTAGGAGCTCTGGTAGTATAATGGTTAAAACATTTGGTTGCCAACCAGAAAGTTCGTGGTTCAAACCCACCAGCCACTCCACAGGAAAAAGGTGGGGCATTGTGCTTCTGTAAAGATTTACAGCCTTGGAAACCCTGTGGAATAGTTCTACTCTGTTCTGTAGGGTTGCTGTGAGTCAGAATTAATAGCAGTAGGTTTGGTTTGTGTTTCTATCATATAAACTACTTCTAAAGGTAAATGGATCTTTTCCATCATCTCTTTTATGCTAAAGAAATTTTCATATATTTGATCAATTAATTTATTAATTTGTATTCAAGAATTATGGACCCTTTTCTGTTGTTATGCCATAATTGGGACATAGTGCCTACAAATTCTGGTAACTTGCTGCTGAGGGGAACCAGCAGTAATCATAGAAAACATGACAGAAGAGGCAGCTAAAGCCTGGAAAGGTGAAAGCCACTTGCCCAAGCAGATAGTGCTGTTTTATGGTTAGGCTGAGCACCAGTCTGATGCTCTTTCTTCTTAAAAGTCTCAAGATCAGGCCTTAATAATGTACTGTGTACAGGGGATGTGCAAGTGTACAATTATGATTTATAATTGATCAGCTGTATGATATGCTTTTTGAAAGACAGGGAACTATTAGGGATAGTTATCCCTATCCCTAAAGATAGAGAGATAGTGGAAGTATGAGTATAAACGTGTGTTATGGTAGCAGTTACTTCTTAGGTTTGTATAAGATCATCTAATTATTTTAAGGCATAGTTGAACCTTCACTGCTCTGTCATTCATACTTGTGTCTTGTGGAAAAATTAAACCTAATGAATGTAATTTAAAACTACACATAAAGAAGATAAAAGTTGAGTTGGGGAAGTTGTTTTTTCATAACAGGAATATAGTTCATTTCTTTTACCTTATTTTGAATGCTGGTAAGATTAAACAAAACATAATGTAGCCATATATTATCTGTTTGATTTTTATACAGGTGCTGCTTTTACTGAAGGTTTATCAAGTGGTTTAAGTACTTCTGTTGCTGTGTTTTGTCATGAGTTGCCTCATGAATTAGGTAAGAGTACCATGTAAATTGTGGCAGACAGGACCCACCCTCAGAGGCAGGAAAGGGAGGGAACACCAGGAACCACAAAAAGTGGCAGGATCCAGGTAAGGGGTGGCAGACAGGACCCATCCCCAGAGGCAGGAAAAGGCAAGAATGCCCAGGACCACAAAAAGCAGCAGGATCTAGCTAAGGAGCGGCAGACAGGACCCACCCCCAGAGGCAGGAAAGGGGCGAACGCCAGGGACCACAAGGCGGCTGGATCCAGGTAGGAATTAGGTAAGGGGAGGGCGGACAGATTTCCAACAACTAAGGGAGACATACTTGTCAGTTTGTCATACTGTGGTGGCTTGAGTGTTGCTGTGAGGATTGAGGCTGTGCCACTGGTGTTTCAAAAGCCAGCAGGGTTGGTCTTGGTGCACAGGTTTCAACGCAACTTACAGACTGAGACAGACTAGGAAGAAGGGAGAGGCCATCCACTTCTCAAATAATTGGCCAGGGAAAACCTTAGGACTAACAGAGAAACACTGTGTGATACATTATTGGGCAGCTTTATGAATAGCCTGGAAACATTGTCCGATACAGTGCAGGAAGATAAGCCCCTTAAGTCGGAAGGCACTCAAAATATGACTGGGAAAGAGCTGCATCATCAGAGTGGAACCAACCTTAATGATATGGATAAAGTAAAGCTTTGGGGACCTCCATTTGCTGACGTGGCACGACTTAAATTGAGAAACAGCTGCAAACATCCATTAATAATCGGAACATGGAATGTATGAAGTATGAATCTAGGAAAATTGGAAGTTGTCAAAAAATGAAATGGAACACATAAAAATTTATATCCTGGGCATTGATGAGCTGAAATGGACCGGTTTTGGATATTTTGAATCAGAGAACTATATGATCTACTATGGCAGGAATGACAGTTTGAAGAGAAATGGCATGGCATTCATCATCACAAAGGATGTTTCCAGATCTGTCCTGAAGTACAATACTGTCAGTGATAGGACAATATCCATATGACTACAAGGAAGATCAGTTAATACTTGGATTATTAAACCACCAAAGCAAAAGATGAAGAAATTGAAGATTTTTATCAACTTCTGCAGTCTGAAATTGACTGAACATGCAATGAAGATGCATTGATTATCACTGGTGATTGGAATGTAAAAGTTGGAAACGAAGAATCACCCATAGTTGGAAATTTTGGCCTTGGTGATAGAAATAATGCTGGATCACATGATAGAATTTTGCAAGACCAATACTTACTCATTTTAAATATCTTTTTCAACAACACAAATGGCAGTTATACACATGGACTTCACCAGATGGAGTACAGAGGAATCAGATTGACTACATCTGTGCCAAGAGGCAATGGAGAAGTTCCGTATCTTCAGCCAAAACAAGGCCAGGAGCTGCCTGTAGAACAGACTATCAACTGCTCATATGCAAGTTCAAGTTGAAGTTGAAGACAATTAAAACAAGTCTAGAGAGCCCAAATATGACCTTGAATACATCCCTCCTGGATTTAGAGGCATCTAAAGAATAGAGTTGATGCATTAAACCCCAATGACCAAAAACCAGAGGAATTGTGGGATGACATCAAGAGCATCATCCATGAAGAAAGCAAAAGGTCATTAAAAACATGAGAAGAAAAGGCCAAAATGGATGACAGAAGAGACCCTAAAACTTGCCCTTGAATGAAAAGTAGCTAAAGCAAATGGAAGAAATGACAAGATAATAGAGCTGAACAGAAGATTTCAAAGAGCAGCTCAAGCAGACAAAGGCAATTACTCTAATGAAATGTGCAAGGACCTAGTGTTAGAAAACGAAAAGAGAAGAGCATGCTCGGCATTTCCCAAGCTGAAAGACCTGAGGAAAAAATTTAAGCCTCGAGTTGTAATATTGAAAGATTCTCTAGGCAAAATACTGACTGAGGCAGGAAGCATCAAAAGAAGATGGAATACACAGAATCACTGTACCAAAAGAACTGATCAGTCTTCATCCATTTCAGGAAGTGGCAAATGTTCAAGAACTAATAGTATTGAAAGAAGTCGAAGCTGCAGTGAAGCAAAGAACAAGGCTCCAGGAATTATTGACAGAATACCCATTGAGATGTTTCAACAAATGGATGCCCCACTGGAGGCGCTCACTTGGTTATGCCACAACAGATTTGGAAGACATCTACCTGGCTAACCAACTGGAAGAGATCCATATTTGTACTCATTCCAAAGAAAGGTGATCCCACAGATGGGGAAATTATTGAACGATATTAATGTTGCATGCAAGTAAAATCTTACTGAAGATAATTGAAAAACGGTTACAGCAGTATATTGGCAGAGAACTTTCAGAGGTGCAGGCTGGATTAAGAAGAGCACATGGAAGAAGGGATATCATTGCTGATTTCAGATGGATCTTGGCTCAAAGCAAAGAATACCAGGAAGATGTTTACTTGTGTTTTATTGACTATGCAAAAACATTTGATTGTGTGGATCATAACAAATTGTGGATAACATTGAGAAGAATGGGAATTCCAGAACACTTAATTGTACTCATTAAGAACCTGTACATAGACCAAGAGGCTGTCATTCAAACAGAACAAGGGGGCACTGCATGGTTTAACATCAGGAATGGAGCGTGTCAGGGTTGTACCCTTTCACCATACTTATTCAATCCATATGCTGAACCAGTAATCCAAGAAGGTAGACTGTATGAAGAAGAACATGGCATCAAGATTGGAGGAAGAATCATTAACAACCTGCAATATGCTGATGACACAACTTTGCTTGCTGAAAGTGAGGATGACTTGAACCACTTACTGATGAAGATTGAAGAATACAGTCTGCAGTATGAATTACATCTCAATATAAAGAAAACAAAAATCCTCACATCTGGACCGATAAGCAGCATCATGATAAATGGAGAAAAGATTGAAGTTGTCTAAGACTTCACATTGCTTGGTTCTACAATCGACACCACTGGAAGCAGCAGTCTAGACATCAGGCAACGATAGCAAGGGGCAAATCGGCTGCAAAGGACCTCTTTCAAGTGCTGAATAGCAAAGATCTCTCCTTGACTAAGGTGCGCCTGACAGAAGCCATGATATTTTCTATCACCTCATATGCATGTGAAAGCTGGACAGTGAATAAGGAAGGCCGAGGAAGAGTTGATGCTTTCAGGTTGTGGTGTTGGCAAAGAATGCTGAAAGTACCATGGACTGCTAAAAGAACTAACATCTGTCCTGGAGGAAGTGCACTCGAAATGCTCCTTGGAAGCAAGAATGGCCAGACTTCATCTCACCTACTTTTGTCGTGTTGTCAGAAAGGACCATTCCCTGGAGAAGGATGTCATGCTTGGTAAGGTGGAGGGTGGACGAAAGAGGGGAAGGCCCTCAATGAGATGGATTGACTCAGCGGCTGCAGCAATGGGCTCAAGTAGTAGCAAGGATTGTGGAGCTGGCGCAGGTCCGGGCGGTGTTTCGTTCTGTTGTGCATAGGGTCGCTATGAGTTGGAGACAACTCGATGGCACCTAACACCACCACCACCACCATATAAACTGTATATTCAGTGGTAGACACTAAGAAAGTCGTCTGCCGCTGATGATTCCAATAAGCTTCCTCATAACTTTCATGCCTTCTCGTAAGTCTGGTACTGTAGTTCACTTTTTTTGCTGTTGAGCACAGGTCTGTTCCCAGTCAAAATTCTGACCCTACAAGTACAAGTACACAGCTGCCTATGTGGGATTGCCAGAAAGGCACCTAGCCCCACCCCTTTCCCTACCAGGTATCTTTCTATGCCAGCAACCTGGTGATACGTTAGTATCATTCTCTTCATGCATACACTGTGAATAAGATCAGAAGATAAAAGAGAATAATTTTCCATTAACAGAAGTTGAAAAGAGAATCTCATTGGAGTTGAAGAAAAGGGAGCTAATGGGTTGAGTTTTTTCTTCTCTGTTATAAGGGCTTAAAACATGAGTACCCTACCAGTTCATCCATATCCCTTATACTTTCCCAGAGTTCTTCTGGACCCCAGTTCATGTCTGTTTTTCTTCCTGTAGTTACATACCCTAACACTGTTTTCCACTTTTGTTCCCTGGCATGTGCTCTGCCATTTAGAAGGCCTTCAAGCTGCCTACTCAATGCTTGTAATCCAACATCTCATTTTTGGTCCATATTGTAGGTCCTTTCATTCCCTATGAAAACTCAACTATTTCTACCTTCATTTATCTCTTCTCCTTTTATAACTATAACATTAGATTCTTTAGCTCTTAATTATGTGCTGCCTTTATCATTTGCTGATAATTTCATGTGTGTTTTCCACTCCCCTTCCCCCCTCTTTACAGCCAATGAAAAGCTGCTTGAGGACAGTATAGAGCACAGTAGTAGGACATTGATACTTACCATTCGTTGACAAAGTTAGAAGCCTTATGAAAAACTTTAGATAAAGGATATGTTAGTTTGTAGAGCTGCTAGGGTGATTAACACTGCTTTAACCCTGGATAACTCTTAATTTTGCTTTTTTTCCCACTCTCAAAAATTAGAGATTTCTTGTATCTGGGAAACCTCTTACAGTATGTGTCTTAGAAAATCTTTTTTTAATTACTTTTTCCCTTTCTATGTTTTCTGTTAAAGGTGACTTTGCTGTTTTACTAAAGGCGGGCATGACTGTTAAACAGGCTGTTCTTTATAATGCTCTGTCAGCCATGCTGGCATACCTTGGAATGGCAACAGGGATTTTCATTGGTCATTATGCTGAAAATGTTTCTATGTGGATATTTGCACTTACTGCTGGCTTATTCATGTATGTTGCTCTCGTTGATATGGTAAGTTTTTCAAAGTGAAATCTTTCTGATTAACAATGAAATAGAGAAAATGTCTGGTAAAATCTTTTTTAAAAAAGGTTTTAGACTAAATATGGTAGTAATGAGAAGTGTTCTATTTTATATTTTTCTTTCCTGTACTCAACAGAGTATAGAATACAGATCCTTTAGAGTTTTCTTTTTTGGATTGTTTATCACAAGCACACCTTCAACCATCCTACCTACCATGTATCAGGATGCACAGAAGTATCTGCTTGCATCTGATGTGTCTGAGAACAGAATTTCAGTAATGAGCCATTGAATTGTTGATAGTTAGAGGAAATCTAGCACAAACTACCATTTTGCTGGCATGTTGTGTGTACTTCAGAATGATAGTCTCCAAAGTCTACCTAGTAATCCAAGCCAGTGTGATTGCCAACATTACATTTTATATAGTGTAAAGTTCATATATCTCTGAAATTCAAGTGAGCCACATGTTGTATTCCATTCAGATACACAGGAAGTAACAAACTAGACTGATTGAATTTTTATTTGCTCAGCACACCATGATTAGTCTTTGATAATTAAACTGCTGGGAAATGCTATGTAACATTATTAGCTAGAGTCAGTTATGCCATGTTTTTAGCATATCTAGTTGCAAATTAAGTTAGTATATTATCCTGAAAAATCTTTTAAAAACCCATCTGTAGTTCTGGAAACTTGAATGTTTTTCTTTTTCTTTTTTTCATCATTCCTTTAAGGTACCTGAGATGCTACATAATGATGCTAGTGACCATGGATGTAGCCGCTGGGGATATTTCTTTTTACAGAATGCTGGAATACTTTTAGGTTTTGGGATTATGTTACTTATTTCTGTATTTGAGCATAAAATTGTGTTTAGTATAAATTTCTAGTATAAATGCTAGAGTAGTTTACAAAAGCATTGCCATCTGTAGTTTGAATAAGTCATAGGGAGATGAGAGTTTGTGTATTATAACATGCAGCATTTAGTGTGTATTGTGATTTTTTTGTATTGAATTTTGTCATTTGTTACACTTATAAGGTCAATTATGGTGGTAACATAAAGGTACATTTTAATATTTAAGTTATTCTATTTTGGGAATATAAGCTATAAGTGCAATTCACCCATATTACCAGTTTTATTGTATAAACAAGAGACTTGGCATGACATGTTCTATATATTTCAGGGAAAAAAATGTCTTTAATTCTTTATTCTAGAACTAATTTAACACAGTAATTTCCATGCTGGATTTTAAACCTCTGAAGAACTTTAGGTGTTCAGTCAGGAGTAGTAAGAATATTCCTGAACCCTAAGATACCAAGGAAACTTGTACTGAATTTAAGCTAGTAAATAAGGAGCAAAAGAGACGAATGAGTGAAAATTGAAGAGGCATAGATTTCTTGTAAAAATCACAAAAGTTATATAACATTTACAACATTTAGATTGAAATAGAAAAGACAAAATTAGTATAGAGTGCATTCACAGACATTTTTGTCAGCGTATTAATGTTCCCATAAAAACACAGTGGCACTTTTATATACTAATTTAGTTGTACATTTCACTTTGTATAATACAGAAATCTAAATATATTTAATGAAATCAAGCAGTATATCAATTGACTAAGAAAAGGAAATACAAAAATATTTGTGTGGAAGTAAGTGTATGTATTGCCAGAAGACCAGGGTAATGACTTATCTGATTAATTGGATGTTCTGGTTTACCAAATGCCAGAGTATTAGAACATTTGAGATATTTGAGGACATTAAAACCATAGTATAATTTGACTTCTTGGATTCAGAAAGTACTTTGGTATCTTTCAGAGTTTCAGTGTTGTTGTTATGAGCAATTGTCATTTTATAGTACTGTAGACATACTAAGGCTTTTTGTGGTATTCTCAAAATGTTCCTTTTCTATAAAATAAATCCCCCACGTGAGCTAAATGCCAGATGTCTGATTTTCTGAAGTACAATCCACATTGTAGCATACTTAACAATTCACTTCTGTTATTCTGTTGAGAGACCTTATTCAGGTTTTAAATTCTTCATCACAAAGGGCATTTCAAAAAATGTGGGTCCACAATTTGTTCTAAGCTGTTTTAAACATTTTAAAATAACCACAGTCTAATGCTGGAGAAGAAACATTAATATTCAGCATTCTAAAGAGAATCAGAAACAGCTGCCCAGACCTCACCTCACCCTCTTGTTGTTGTTGTTGTTATGTGCCGTTGAGTCAGCCCTGACGCATAGCGACCCCTCCTTGGGTTTTCGAGGCAGTATCGCTATGGAAGTAGGATTGCCCAACCTTCCTTCCAAGGAGTGGCTGAAGGGTTTGAACCGCCAGCCATCTGGTGAGCAGTCAAGTGCCTTAGCCACTGTGCTACCAGAGCTCCCCCTCACCCTCTTAGAGCCTACTAAGAGTGAGTTGAACCAGCATTCCTATCCCCCAAACTAAGTGAGGGGGTGTAGGGGTAACAACAATTACTTGGATTGGAGGTGTCTGTGAGGATGAGATGAGGCATTTCTTTTTCTGGCTGAATGATTACTCTGCTTTAGAAACCCACAGGCCTAATCTAGTACCCATCTCTAGATCATTGCCAGGTGAGGAATTTCTTAGAATGCAGCAGATGTTCCTCTAGTAATCTGAAGAACACAGAGACTTGTACCTAGTCCTTTTATGGAAATTCTGAAGGTTGGAGGTGTGCTGTACCAGCTGGAAAAACAAGATGACTAGGAACCATGGTTCCCTGTCCAACAACCCATAAGTGGGTATGTGGAAGAAAATTTAAGTAGTTCCTTTGACTCTGGGGGAGGGAGGATGCAAGGGAATTAGAGGAAAATGCAGGAGCTGTAAGATATGGACCAAAAGCTGATACTTTGGGAGAGGGAAAAAATGACATAGTGATTTAAAACAGAGAAAGGCAAAAATAATATCTTGAATGAAAAAAGATATAGCTGTACAGTAGAATCAACCAGTCATAAAAGCAACCTGTACAGTTGAGAATTTAATGTGCATTAATTTTCTGGATAAATATAAATAGTCACACAAGAAAAAATATGAAACCAGTGACTCTTATGAAGAAATTACTACCACATTAAAATTCTTCCCCTTGCCAAGGCAGAAGGCCCAGTTTATAGTGAATTTTATCAAACCTTCACGGAAACATGTAAATCTCTAATTTGTCTAAATAGTTTCTGGAATTAAGAAAACAAGCTCATCATGTTCACTGAAGTTAGCATAACCTTGATACCAAAACTTTGTGGGGAGAGACAATCTGCATTGGGTCCCAAGACTTCAACAACTTTGAAGGATGAGGTAATGTCTCCATCTGAAACAGAAAGCAAGCCTTACATAAAAGAGGTGGATTCCCTAAGGTCACTGTTCCTCAGCTGCTCTACAAACGCATGCACTCCGTGTGCAGCATCTACCTGATCTTTCACGAAGCTCCTGTGGGATCCGGGAGTCAAGGAACCTGATGCAAATGATGCTTGTGCTGCTTGCTATGCTGTGAGCAACAAAATCATATCTCTGACTGAGGAGTCTTGTTTTTTCTGTCAATATCCATGAAATAGTAACAGGATAACTAGTTTGTATATAGTATAAAATTTCAGACCCTGTGAAAACCACAGAAAGATTGTATAGGAAAAAGGATTTAGATACGAGAGTCCTAAATAGCAAATAAAACAGCAGTGTATAATGTATTATGATCCAGTAAGGTTATCCCAGGAAAGCAAGGATAGTTCAACATCAAAATTCATTACCATAATGTACAATGTTACCAGATTAAAATTTTTTTAAATTACATAATCATAATGGAATCAAAATAAGATTTTTAAAGTATAACATTAAAAATAGGAAATTTTTTAAATCTAGGAAATCTCTAAAACCCTGTCTCCTTGAATACTCCTATGAAGTCAAGGGTTTAAAGAGCAGCAGTCAAGGGTAGGGGAAATGTGGTGCAGTAAGGAGGGAATGGGGGAGGGACAGTATAATTTCCAAAAGAGCAGCACTTCACCCTCCCAACTTGGCTGCTAACACAAAGTACAAAAGAAAAAAAAAGATAATAAATTGCCACAATTCCATTGCTGTCACCATAAGCACCATGTCATTGATGCTTTAAGGAATTTTGACAAATGCATACCACAGGGCAACCATCTTCATAGTATTTACCTTTTCCAGAATGTCTAGAAGTGGAACTATAATTAGAGTGCATAGTTTCTTTCATTTAGGATAATGCATTTAGTGTTCTTTTGTACTGTTGTGAATATCTGTATTTTTTTTTCCTTTCATCAGTTGAAAGTCATGTTCTTTCTAGTTTTTGGTGTTGATAATAAAGCTACATAAACATTTGTGTACAGGTTTACGTGTGACGTGTTTTCATCTTCTTCAGTAATGAGTGGGATGGCTAAGTCATGTGGGTCACTTTATGTTTAATTTTATAAGAAAAGACCAGATATTTCTTTTTGTTGCTATGTTTTTTAATTACTAAATTTTGGGACATCTTTATATATTCTGGATACAAATATGCAAGTTTGTGATTTGCACATATTTTCTCCCAGTCCTCTGTTTGCCTTATCTTAATATTTGAAGATCAGAAATTTTTCATTTTAATGAAGCCCATTTTTTTATTCTTTTATGTATTGTCCTTTTGGTGTCATGTATAAGAACTCTTTCCCTAACCCAGGTTACAGATACTCTGTAATTTTTTTTTAGAAGTTTTACAGTTTTATGTTTTACATTTAGATCTGTGATCCATTTTGAGTTAATACTTAACGTGAGGAGAAAGATTAAGTCCGGGTTCATTTTTTTCAGATACGTTTGTCCAGTTGTTCCAACACCATTTTTTGGAAAGACTGTCCTATCTCCTTTGAACTGTCTTTGCACCTTTGTCAAAATCAGTTGACCCTACGTATCTATGTAGAAGATCCTGGATAGAGTGGGAGAACAATGTGGAACAAAACTCAAAATAAAAAAAAAGGACCAAGTCTGCTGGTCCGAGAGAGCCTGGTGAAACCCCTGAGACTATGGCCCCTAGCTGCCCTTCAGGTTGAATTGAACCCACTCCTGTGGCTCCCAACCAAACAAAAGACAGGCCTATGAGCCGAACATTTACATTAGGTAGACAGACTCCTTGGAGAGATCAATCATGGAGAATAGAAGGGCTGTGTATGCACAGGGATACAGCTCAGGGGACAGGAGTGCATGGAGGGAAGGACACAGGGAAGAGGTAACTGGGGGGAGGGGTAGGAGAGCTGTTGCATTGTGGGAAATTGCAGTCAATGTCTTGGGACAAAATGTGTGCTGTATGGAAAATGAATTTACTTTGTAAACACCCAGGTCACAATGAAAATGAAGAAAAAAAATCAGTTAACCCTATTTGGGTCTATTACTGGAGTTCTATCTTGATTGCTTTAGCTTTATATTAAGCCTTGAAATCAGTACCATGATCTCTCAAACTTTGTTCATTTTTTTCATAATTGTTTAGGCTGTTCTAGATATTTATGTTCCCATATAAATTTTAGAACCAGTTTGTCATTCTCCCACCCCAAAAAAAATTGTGCTGAGATTTTTATTGTGATTAGGTTAAATATATAGATAAATTTTGAAAGAATTGACAGCTTAATAGTATTGACTCTTCCAATTGACAAACACGGTATATCATTTATTTAGGTCTTTAAAATTTTTTTTATTGGTATAATACAGTGTTCAACATGCAAATCCTGTACATATTTTGTTAGATTTATAATGCAAGTGGCTCATGTTTAAGGAGCCCTGGTGGCACAGTACTTAAACACTCAACTGCTAACTGAAAGTTCGGGGCAGTTCAAATCCACCAGCGACTCCCCAGGACACAGATGTGGCAATTTGCTTCTATAAAGATTACAGCCTCGGAAACCTCATAGGACAGTTGACTGTCCTACAGAGTCGCTGTATGTTTGAATCAACTTGATGGCAATGGGTTTTTATTGCATTATTGTTCTTTCGTCCCTTAAACTTTTATTTGGAATTCTGGTAGCATAGTGGCTAAAAGTACTTGACTGCTAACCAGAAGGCTGGCGGTTCAAACCCACCAGCCACTCCTCGGAAGGAAGGTTGGGCAATCCTACTTCCGTACTGATACTGCCTCGGAAACCCACGGAGGGGTCGCTATGAGTCGGGGCTGACTCCACGGCACATAACAACAACAAACTTTTATTTATTTAATAATTTTTTTAAAAAAAGTCTTGCAGCACTGGAGCATGGGTGCGATACAGGCAGGTGTGGCAGATGACATAGTTTTGGGCAAGGGCTCCGGGCTTGGAGGCTTTGTGTGGTAAGCAGACAACAGCTGCATCTCCTGCTGCGCAGACTGGTTGGGACTGCAGGCAGG